GATATTAAATGTAAGTAGTAGTGAATGAATGTGTATTAAGAAGAGAAAAGAAAGTAAAAACGCTTTGAAAAGCAGCAGAATATTTTAACTGCAAACGTTTGAACTAAAACCAAACGTCACCAATAATGTATAAAATATGTGGAACGTGTTGAAGTCAGTATGAATTCTCCATCAGATAGTAAAGAATAGGCTGAGACAGACTGTGGCCGTGTCTCAATTCAGGGGCTGCATCCTTCGGAGGACGATATGTTTTTTTAAATGAACAACAGCATGTTGTATAAATTGATTCTTAACAATATTAGTTTTCTAATCTTAATAGCTGTGATTATAACAGTTTATATTCTCCTTCTTCCCCTAAACCAGCCCAGATGATGTCCCACCAGGTCAGCACCTCCAGGTCCAGCACCACCATGACCCCCTGCTCTGCTGAAATACACAATTAAACATTTTCTATGACCTATTTTTTGTATTAATAAAATTAAACTGAAGACAGTTTAATGACCTAGAGATATCCTATTATTCCACTGCTTATGTACACAATGGTTAAAACCTCAGTAAATGAAATAAACAATGTGTTTAACAAGTACTATTTTAATTCAATTTTGTATGTTCATCTAATCACAAAGTAGCAAAACGTAATTTAGCTTAAACACACGGTAAGCTTAAAACATTTCCGGTTAAGTTTACTTTGAAAAGCTGTATTGAAAGGCGTTGCCGTTGTCAACAGTGTCCACTTCCGGTTGTACGTTAACAACGATTACAGCCGTTAAAATGCATTAAATAAAAAGTCATGAATGAGTGTATGAGGAGAAAAGGCGTGTGGAGTTATACAATGAACACACTACGTCTAAATCCTCTGTTTTACGCGATATCGGACACAGAAGAACACAAGGAGGGAGGTTCCCTCTTACGTCAACAGCCGCCATTGAGAGGAGGAGCTATGAATCAGATACAGACGGAGAAACAACGTGATCTCAGCCCTTCTTCACCTCGCCGCCTCCCCACCACAGCTGTGCTCCTGTACCACTCTGTTTCAGTGGCGAGCCGTGAGCTTTATACCTAGGCCCTCTGACCCCCACCCCTTCCCTCGAAAAAAAAAGAGTTATTACGTCACAGCGTAGCGTATACTTCAGCGGAATATCAAAACAACGGCCCAGGGTGCAAAACGCATCAATGACAGCGACCCTCTACCACACAAAACAACACCTGTGAACCCAATTGGTGTTCTTTGACATTGAAAAGGATATTGCATTGTGTTTGTTACTTTCGTTGCAGTTGTATGTCTTAAGTGTAATTTGGCATGCTTTTATTTTGAAGGCGAGTTCACGCTGTTGACAGGAAGTTGTTGTTGCTATGGAAACAAGAACAGTTTCACAGTGGGCGGAACTTGTCATAAAGTCCGCGATAATAAAACCCACCCATTTAGAGGGAAGATATGATTGGTCAATTGTACTGTCATTTGACATTACTCTCTCGTTCAGTTACTATAGCGGGCCCTCTGTGAATCGCAGAGAGGGCCAGACGAGCTTCTTTCATGTAACCCTTCACATTCAACAGAGACTGAACAGGCAGATTCGAAGGATTTATTTCTTTGGAAATGTTATTTTAAATACAATTAAATCAAGTTTTTTTTCGGTAAAACTAATGAAAAATATAACAAAAATAATATTAAAAAAATATATATTTAAAAAAAAAATATATTTTTAAAATGTTTTTAAATATTATTTTTTGGAATATCTTAGGCCCTCACAGAGGGCCTCGAGGGCCCTGACGGCTCGCCACTGCTCTGTTTGTTTTGAAACCACGCTACTTAATTAAAGTACCAATTTGAACCTTTTCAGAGACTCCATTAGTCACTTATTTTAACTTCCTCCTGGACGCGAGAACAATGAACACAATCCAACAGCCGTCACTTCCACTCAAGCTCCCCCAACGAAATACCTCCAACTCCAGATAGATCCCCGGCTTCGTCTCTTCCGCCAGCTAGGGCAAACAATCGGGGCCACAACAGGCACAGCCACACGCCTCTCGGACGAATCTGCAAATGGAGCTCGAACTCAGGAAGTGGACAGTCTTCCGACTTCAACGTTTCCCGAAAGAACATGGCATCCACTTCCATCGAAACGACAACAAGGCAAGACTGCGCAACCTCTACAAAGCCTACAGCAGCACACCGGTAACAACAAGACCCACAGCTCTTCCCGCTTCAGAGTCAAACACCTTCATCCCTCATCCCTTCATCCCTCATCCCTACATCCCTTCATCCCTCATCCCTTCATCCCTCATCCCTACATCCCTACATCCCTACATCCCTTCATCCCTCAATCCCATCATCCTTCATCCCTTCATCCCTACATCCCTACATCCCTACATCCCTTCATCCCTCATCCCTACATCCCTCCATCTCTCATCCCTTCATCCCAACATCCTCTGCCTGTCACCATTTATATTTAAACTGTGTATATTGTAAACATTTTAATTCTAGGTATCGTCTGGGGGCCCGCAATCAGCCCGAGCAGATCATGCCGGAGACGGTACCCCCACTCTGAGTCTCCCTCTGCACGGACCACAGCACGTCCCGCCAGACCAGTACATCTCATCAACCCCTCCATATCAATTCATTGTTACTTCTTGCAATAAACCTACAAACACCACACTGTTGTGGCGTGGTTCATGCTAGTGAAAATGTCAACGCGTGGAGGATGTCAGGACCGTGAGGAGCGTCGGAGTCTGCTTTTTGTGCACTTTCGGGTCAATAATGTGGCATTTTTGGCAGATTTACAAAAGGTGTGCAGCTGCTGCTGAAAGATCAGGCTGAATTTACAATGGGCCTTAATGGAGACATGTTGAACGTTTTTGTCACTTCATGCCCTCAAGAGGCATTTTGTTTAATTGTTTTGCTTAATCTTTTTTACCTAGGAGAGGTTTTCCTACGTTTTTCATGAAAAAAAATAGAGTGCCACAGTGACGCGTCCTAAAACCCAGAAGTAAACTCCTTCCGGTTCCTTCAACAAAAAAGCAATGCAATTTCTCCATAGGATTTTGGAAAATAGCTCGAAATAAGGTCTGTGGTTGACACACATTTAAGAGACGGATCACGTTTTGTTCAGCCGTATAATATCCACATGTCTACCCTACTTTTATAATTTTCGAATCATAAATCTAGTCGCCAGAAGCAAAATACTAACGTTATGCTATAAACGAACTACAGCAGGGTCGCTGCTTCAACGTCACGCCAACTTAAGATCCATATTCAAAACTACAGATTCAAAATTGTACAAGTTTAAGTGTTTGTTTGAACAGTTTGCAGGAGGCAGGTACTTGCTTTCAAGCAGAACACGGGGGAAAACAAACTTAGCGGGAGTGTTTACGTGTTCGGTGTAATGACGTACAACAGCCTCGACAACTTCTAGTCCTATTCAGCCACATGTTAACAACCATCGTTTTTCAGACACGTAAACTCTTCAAAAATCACCAGTGGGGTCACTGCTGATGTATTTAATGTTGTAGAACAAAACGTGATCCGTCTCTTCAATTTGTGTCAACCACAGACCTTATTTCGAGCTATTTTCCAAAATCCTATGGAGAAATTGCATTGCTTTTTGGCGAAGGAACCGGAAGTGGTAAAATGCTAACTTACTTCCGGTTTTTAGGACGCGTCACTGAGGCACTCTACACACACTAATGTTAAAATCTGAAGAAAGCCTCTTTACCAAGCTCCAAACTAAGTTACATATCTCAAAAAGTGTAAAAAATGACGATGTTAAAAAGTGTAAAACATATGAAAAAATAGTTTTATAGCTGACGGTCTTGTGATCATTTTAAAGTTGGAATAAAGTCTCTAGCTGAAAGTATGTGGAAGGAGTAGCATTTGGCGCAAGGTGTAGGTAAAAGAGGATTTTAAGGTTCCTCCCATTGAGTTACATGTTAAAAAAATAGTTTAAAAAGCTGAATATTTCAAAAAGTATAAAATATTTTGAAAAAGTTGAAAGTTTCCCATCATGTGCTGAAAAGACTGAATATTTTGATATTTGAATGGTTTCTGTAGCTGAATGTATGCTGAAGTTATTGAGAGCCAAACTATTTGGTGAAATAATAATAAGAAGAAGAATACGGAAGACGGAAGAATAAAGAAAAGAAGAACTAATTAAATATGTTTTTATTAGTATATGACATGAAACGAATAATTGTGTTTTAATTAGATTAGAAGCTGCTCTTTTTATTGCATTTTCAAGGTTACCTGAAGGCCACCTTAAGTTTCCCTGAGACATCTATAGTGGTAGGCATTTCGACTTGAAAATTACAGGATTTTGATGGTTGGATTCCATGTAGGTAAAATGTATCTAGTATTGTGCATGTTCACACTGATATGGCTAACTTGGAGACTTAGTAGAATAGAGCCTTTGGTAATGTAAACCTTTACATCTGTGCTTTCGACATCTAAGCCAAAACTTCTGCCATTAAAAGGGTCAATTCAGTTTATGCAATCTGCAAACTCAACACTAGATGCTAAATCCTACACACTGGACCTTTAATCCTAAATCTTATCACTAAAAGTACTATTTTTCGTTTTTGACATGCATGTATTTATAGCCTAAAGCTTTAGTTTACTATATTTTAAAGTAACTTTTCAATTTGAATCTTTATCTTATCAGTGATACTTCAATGTAAATGAGTTGGATAAATAATAATAATCCTCTTATCTGATACAAAACACTGGCATGTTGACATGCCAGAGGAGTAACTTTCTGTTTAAGGGATACAAGTGAATGGGCAATTCCTTCAATATTAGACATCCCAATATTTAGTATGCTACATATGAGAAGATCCGGATTAAGGATCGATTATATTTGCCAGTGAGAGATTGAGTTGTCCATCCCTCCACCTGCTGGAGGATGCTGATCTGTGGGAGAAGGAGAGGGAGGAGGAGGAGGAGGAGTATGAGGAAGAAGAAGGACGTCACGCTGTGCACGTTCGCGGCCTGTCGTCGCAACGCGGAAGAGACGAAGGAGGAAAAGAGCCTCCACGTCACAGAGGTGTAATATCGGCGTCAGTGCAACACAAGGTGCTACCTCAGTGCAATTCCAGGACCATTGTACACTTCCAGATTCCTCCATGTAGGCTATGGTAACTCGTGTGAGCACAAAGCGAAGATTTATCCAGCTGCTCGGCGTCGGTAGAGACTCTGCTGGGACTCTGCGCAAGGTAAGTGTGTGTGCCGCTGCTGCTAGCCAGTCCGCCTGAAACACCGGACAGTGCACGCGACTGTATTCCCCCCGACCTTTACAGCCTGGAGAAAGCGATACACTGCATTTTATTGATGTAATGTCGTAGCAGCCATTAGCCCCAGAGCTTACTCCCGACGGCTGACTGTCAGTGATTTGACCCAGCTAGCTAGTCTGGATTTAAGGTCGGCAGGCTTCAGAGCGTTGTTGACGTTTCTGTTTGACAGCTGCTGGTTCCCGCTGGCTGCTACTGCTGCTACTGGTGGTTACTCACATTTACATCCCCGCATCTCATCTCATTACTGCTGTAATATCTGATACTGGCTATAGCTAATTGGTTGACAGAGAACAGTAACAACAAGTGTTGGTAGGCACACAGTAACAGCATCATGCTAAGGCCCATTCATTAATAAGTGATGCTTTAAAGGGGGAGTGGGCTAACCAACAATCACTATGCATCACAAGGTACCACTATGTCAGCAACCATTCTGAACATAAGAAATACATTTTGAGCCACACATTAAAGGAATATTTACTTGTAAACAGTAGCTTTGTTTTCACTCAGCCTGGGAAAACTGATGTAAAAGTCCTTCTGTGGATGTGGAGTGAGCTCTGTCATAAAAGAGAAGTTAAGACAGAATCTCACTTCCTAAAATACTGTAAGAAATGTAAGAGAAGTTTAAAAACGAATCTGTAGATCCATCCTGAGTCTACCCATCTACTTCAGAATTTGACGGGAGTAAAACAGGTGCAATATTAGCTTCAAAATATTTGGACTACTGTCATACATAAAGAGAAAACTCTGTTTTGAGTGGATACATCTGTAAAAAATATATAACAGCTGTCTATGTTATTTATTGTTATTTGATTTTTATTATACTGTATTTAATATGGTTATGATTTGAATATTGTGTATATGTATTGCTGATTTTCCATGGATAATAATACTTTTCCATGCTCCGTCTCACATACATTTGAACTTGATCTCGCATTTGCATGATTGGCCAATAGAAACACTGTGTTTACAAATAGAGAAGTTACTGTTTTGAGCGTGTACCAAAACCCTGTTTAGTGCACTATCATTTTCGTGATCATGCCTGTCATAAAGAGAAGGTAAGTGTTGTATTAGATATGGTGAACAATTGATCATTTTAGCTGATGTCCGTCTTTATTTGCAGCATGCAGCAAGTGTTGGCTTTTGTTTTGCATTTTTCTATTTGCATGCCGTTCTTAAGTTGCCATGTGTTCCTCGGCCTCCAAATCTTCCACTGTTAATGTAGTATCCAAATGTCCATACAACGACATGTGTAGTATAATTGAGTAACTCTGTTTTCAGTCTGCAGTTTGGTTAAGTGTTCTTAAAAACAAGATAGTTAACTTGTGTTCAGAGTAGCAGTCTTTCTGTCAGGTTAAAGGTGAGAGTTTACATTTCACATTTGAGTTTAGGGTAAAAAGGCGACTTCTTGCTCAAGATAGCTTGTTGTTTTGATCACATGTCCTGGATTGCATATTTATAGCTATACGCTAAGCAGTTTTGTTATTCTATGCATTCCATAGGTTGCAGAAACTATATGTTACATAGATCATGTGATGGTAGATTAGTTATCATAAAGGAATTAGTGTAGTATGTTGAGTGCTACCTTATATTTCTGTTTCATGGTATTTTACATTTCTCAGTGTACCCTAATTAAGTGAACAGAGAATACAGTGTTTGTAAATGTTTGGCCCTTATATCCATGTATCCATTTTTTATTGTGTCTTAATGCAGATATAATATTTTTGTTCGACAATACCAGCAAGCCCATCATTGAAGCCAGATCACTCCCTGTATGAAAACACACACCTTCTAAAAGCAACTCTCACACAGCCTAAAACAAATTCTTATCTTACTTTGGTAGAGCCACAATGTGTGTGTTTAAAAATATCTCAAGATTTCTTAACAGACATCAGAAAACTTGTATGTAAGCTTGTATGAATCATATTTCTTTATGTTTTCAGCCTTACAGTGTTGCCTAATATTTAGTCTGTCAGAAATGCATCAAAAACCTGTTTTATAGGAAACACCCAGTTACACTACACACACGCCATACACACCTGTTTATTCTTTCAAACCTTCAGATAGTCTAATGGTTTATCAGTGTAAAAGTGCATTCAAATAGAATTTGGAAGCCGTTTGGTTTATTGAGCAACAGGGGAAGACTCAGGCAGTCGTATGTGATTATAAGACAATTCAAACTATACAGCAGTGCAAGAACAAAAGATTTCAAGCTAGGCTTTACATCAATAATTATATTATTTGGACAGTTGCTTTAAATTAAACTACTGAAATGTCCAGAGCAAGAATAGTCGAGCCCCGTTTATTTAGTTCAGGCAATTTGTAATTCAGCATTCGAATGGAAGTCAAGGAAGCAGCAAATCGAATAGTTTATGCTCTGTGATTTGTTATCCAACACAGCAGCCCGTTATACTGCACTACAGAGCAGAAAGAGGAACTGAGATAAGCGGAAGTTCTGATTCAGGTAGTATCGTTTTTTGTACAGTGGCCAGGCAATCGGGAAGTAAACACCTGTTTCAGTGCAGTTATCACCTCTCAACCTTCTCTTTGTTGAGCTTCAGCGTGGGCACACTCCATGTGGGTGGGCCTTCATTTTATCAGCAGTGATTTTGTGTTATGCTTTTGCGTTGGATGTGTGTTCACCAGGCCTGATAGCTACAAGCCATTGCCTAAAAGTGTTTTTCCTATTGCACCGGACTGGTAGGACTGTTCTCAATCTGTTTTAATCTCTATATAATTAGTTAGACGATGTTTACCTGGTCATGAGGCAGGCCAGAGTGTCATGACCTGGTCAAATGTCTGTGTGGCGGTGAGGGTAACTTCTGATCTGCTGGTTAATCTGAAATGTTTTAATACATATTTGACTAGGGTGCTAACCTGCAAATTATTTCACTTGCACAGATATCTTGAATTGATCCATGACAATCATAACATAGTATAACTGCATTTTGAATATACTATTTAATTGTTCACAATATCATAATTACTCTAAATGTTGACATAAATTAGGTACATAGATAAATATCAATTACCGCTTTTATATATTACGTGAGCTGAGTCCACTTAAAAAAAAAAAAAGGGCCCGTCTGTATCCCAACTTGATCAAATTTTACTTTTAAGGAGTTCACACACTCATGAGCCACTTCAGTGAAGGGTGTCAATACAAGCTTATTACACAGAGAGGCTCTCGCAGTGACAGCCTCTTAAACACTACAAGTCACAGTTTGGCTAATTCATTGTAGGAAACAAGTAAAACATGAATGAATGTCTTCCTTTAATCTTTGACTAAACACTTCAGTCGGTTCTTACAGACAATGACCCCTCTTTTAATTAATTCACTAAGAGGCTTTCTATGTGTACAATTGTATAAAGCCGTTTGTAAATGAAGATTACATGAGGCACAGTGTTTCAGCCTGATACTCTTACTTTTGACTCTAAAAGACAGTCGGTGCAGTTGAAACAGAGAGTTAATATTCTCTAATGTAGCTGCACCACAGGCAAGGAAGTTAAGGCTTTTCATTACAGTCCCACCATAATGATTCATTTTTGTCACCTTTGTTTTTACTTTAAGAAACCTGCGCTAAACACTGGAGGCAGTTCTTGTTATTCCCAATGTGGAATACTATTAAGAAAGGTCAAAACGGGCTTGCATTTCTTATGGGTAGCATCAAATAAACAAAAGTATTGTTAGTAGTGTAACTGCTGAGCCTCATTGCATTGTTTTTCATCATTCATGACTGAGCAGAGATTAATTACGCTTATTATATCTGATTCTTGGCTTGAACAAAGGGTTTAATTGTCAGTTTATAACGGTAGCTAAACTCGGTTAGAAACGGACTCAATTCTCAAGGAAAGACAGTCAGCATGTGCTTCCATTGCTGGTAGTGATCATTACAAAAATATATATAAATGGCCTTAATGATGTTATAGACAATTCCTTTACAAGTTGTGAATGTCAGAATTATTAGATGGCTTAATACTTCCCAAGAACAGATTGGTCACGTTGAATATGAATCTTTGTTGATGCATGTTGTATCCATTAAATGTTTTTTTGTGTTTGTTTGTTTCCTCAGAGTGCCCCACTTCCGCTGCTTCTCGATGGGTGAATCAGGCTCACGTCGGTCCACACTTGTGTCCCGCCTGCCAATCTTCCGCCGCAGCAGCAGTAAGAGGCAGGACTCCCTCCCCTCCTCTCCCTCTTCAGGTGGACAGGGCAATGGCGTCCACACCTCCTCACCCTCCAGCACCAACTCCAGTTCAGGCAGCACGGGGAAACGCCGCAGCTTTTTCAGAACTCCATCCCTCAATTTATCAGCTAAACGGAATAGCGATCCACGTGTCAAGCCTATCAACCTAAACCTCACCCCCCCGCTGACACAGAGCACTGACGCAAATGGAAATAACCAGCAGATTTCAACGTCATCGTCAACGGGGTTCAGTGAAGGTGGTGGACGCCCAAAGTCACGCCACTCCTTTGGATTCGGCAGCCACAAGCAAAAGAAGATCTCCCGCTCTCAGACGGAGGATTTTGAAAAAGCTTCCTCTTCTTCCTCCTCCACAGCCAATCGAAATGTCTTTACAAACTGTATCAGTGGCTCAGGGGCCAATGAGGGTGACGACTCTGGGTTCCTGGATGACTACAGTGGAGGTAGTAATAGCAAACGGTCGTCACGGAAGAAAACGCTGCTGCCCAAATCTTTCTCCGCTCACCACCGCTTCTCCCGGACCTCCGACCACCACAGACCTCCAGAGGTGAATCTGGAACCTCCGAGCTCCACCACCATCACTCCGGGGGCCGGGGGCCTCACCCCGGGCTCATGGCCAGGGGAGCTTGGTGCCGGTGGGGAAAGCTCACTCCAGTCCCCTATGATATCAGAGGACCGAACCACAGCCGTCACCCCTTCAGAGTTCATCCCCATCACGGAGGATTCTGTGTCTGAGGTGGATGCTCTGCCAGCTCCCAGCCCCGGACCCCCTGTAGCCCCTCCTGCCTCTGAGCCCGGGCCAGATGTCTACCCAGCTCCACCTGAATCCCCACCTGAATCCCCACCTGAATCCCCCCCCTGCCCCAGAGAACTTCAGCTTGGTTGTTTCTTCATCCCAGGTAGTGTGCCTGTTTCTTTTTGCTGTCAATCATGTATGGGTTTTGGAATCAAATGGGTTAGGGTTAGTTAAAGACAAAGACAAACCGTAAACTTTATGTAAAAGTTTCGGGAATAATAGAGAAACACCATTAATTTTAAGATGAAAATGCAACTTGTCTTAAGTATGCAAAATCATTCAATCAGTAAATCTTTCTTCTTGTTGGCAAACAATATTTGTTTAAAAAATGCGATATTAGAGCTTGAGGAATAGATAATACAACCACAGGTGCCCTTGGATGTCAAGAACAAAAACCATAAAGGAGGAATATTTATGATCACTGAGTGGAATCTGTGAAATGTGGCATAAAAATTTAGCACCGGGCATAAAAGTCCTTTTATTGAAAGTGCTAAGGCATGAAGAGAAAAACCCATGCATGTCTGAAAACTGTCCTCCACATTTCACACCTTTGTGCTCACAACTTTTCCTCCTTCAAAGAATTGATTCTATTTTTTTTTTTGCTGGTAGAGGAGGGAGCTCCTGATGAAAAAAAACATTTATCCTGTACAAAGGCTGCAAAGACAAAGCTCCGCACTTAAGTCAAGAGTAAATACTGTGACTGTGCTTCCCAAACATTCACACCTTGTGCCCGAGGACACAAATATATCCTTGTGCAAACCTTTTGACCCATTTCAGTTCACAATTGTTCTTGTATTCAAATGTAACATTGACAGCAACAGCTTGTTCTGTTTCTACACATTCTCAATGAAATGTCCTCTCCTCAGGTCTTCTTCACTCCAGCCCAGTCCAGCACTGAAAAACCTTTACTCCCGGACACCAGCACAGCAAACAACACAGACTATGAGACTGCCATTTCCCTCTCAGAGCCGGAGACAGCTGTACCCTGCCTACCTCTGCGGGAACAATCACTGGAAGAGAGAAGGGAGAGGGAGGAAGAGAGAAAGGAAGTGAGGGATGAGTTGTCAGCAGTGGAGAGGAAGGAGTTAGTGGAGAAGAGGAAGGCAGGTTACCAAACAGAGACCAAGAGCAAGAGCGAGAGCGAGGCATGTGTGGTACTCAGCGAGGGGTGCCACTCTAACCCAGAGCAATCGGAAAGGAAGGCAAGAAGAACGCGCTCCATTCAAGAAAGAGGAAGCTTCTGTGGCTGCCACGAGCCAAGGTCCTCTCATTTGAGGAAACCACATGCAGGTGAGAAACTCATGCAAACACTTTTAGGTAAATCACAAGTTTACATGCATCGCCACAGTCACAAACACAGATAACATACACTACCATGTACCGTGTACCATGGGAGCCCAGCCAGGTTGATCCCGCATGATAACTGAGACACACAGACATCAAAACTTGGCTTCACACTCTTTTGTGATATCGGCTCTATGATATTGACTAGCTATTTTATGTAAAAAGCAGTGACAGTATTGACTTCTTGCTGTGCGGGGAGTATGTATGCTATGTATATTTGTTATATGTGCGTGTTGCTTGTGTCTGTTGGACATATTTGTATTTTTGGGATACTTAAATATATCCATATGTTTTTTATTCTATTTACTCTTATGCTTTACCTGATATCTAACTCACTCATGTATCAGTACATTTTGCATTTCAAAAAGCAACAGAAAACATGTTTCCTCTTGTGTTGTGTCCAAATATTACAATACATTTTCGAAGCTCGAACATTGATCTGAAACCTTTATAGCCGGCCCGTCACTCTGAGCAATCACCTCAGACAGTTAATCTGAAAAAAAAAACCTTCAGTCTAATGAATACATGCCAGATGTGGGTTGACAGTAGTTTGTCAAACTGACAAATTATAATTTTACCCGAGATGATGTGTTACCATTTTCCTCACTTCCTCAGCTGTTGTAACATATTGCAGAGGAGATTTTTCAGCCAAGGCTTCCCGAGATCTACAGCCCATAATTATGTTTCCCAAAAAATATGTTTCCCTGTGTCCTAACCTTTTTATCAGACTTTGATGTGTGATATGAAACATGAGATTCTGGCTGAGTTTATTACCCTTTCAGGAAAAGAGATAATTTAGTGAATCAAGTGTTGGCTTGATTAATGGTCTCACTTGGACTAGCTAACCGTGCTATTAGAAATTAGTTTAGTTGAAGCAACTGATAATTTCATTTTTGCTGATATTGAAATGTCACTTTATTAATGTGCTGCTGGCAGAGGAAACTGAGGGTTTTAGTAAGATAAGTTCAAATTAATGAATATATCAAGATTTAATCATGATCAAAATATTATAGTCAAAGTAGGGCTGTGCAATTAATCGTATTTTAATCGCAATTACGATTTTGGCCTGCCACAATTACGAAAACAACATAATCGAAAAAAACAATTATTTTGCTTTGCTAGGTTGTGACGGTGCACTGCAACATATTTGATCTAATTAATTTTGGTCTCATTTATTTGTATTTATCATATTTATATATGTTTAGTAGCTTGGGGAATTGCGCTCCAAAATATTTGTTGATCTTGTTTATTGGTATTTATTATTTTGATATTATTTATTTAAATGTATCATTTATTTAATTTATTTTTGTATTGGTTTTTCAGTTGAATTATACGTTCAGGGTAATCAACAGTTAAAAAGATACTGTTCAAATTATTATTTGTATTTGTTTTAAAGTTCAATAAATGGATTTTTTCAAAGTCAATGAATAATCGTATTTAATAATCGTGATATCAATTATTGACCCAAATAATCGTGATTATGATTTTTGCCATAATCGCACAGCCCTAAGTCAAAGTACTCAAAAAATTAATTAAGATAGCATTCCTTTTTTGTGGACACTTTTTTGACAACCGAGTAGAAATGCTAAGTGTTACATGCTCTCAATTATGAAAGCTTAGTGCGGAATCAGTTGCCTATCGTTGTTTTGTGAACACATACACACATGTAGTGTATTGCAATTCATTATTGCAGGGCAGTAGCTAAATATTGATTAAAACTTGGTGAATGTTTAGCTTCCAAGCTGTGGGAACTACAAATAAACTACAGGAATAACGGGAGGAGTCTGTTGGACTCCACAAAAAACAAATTTGACCATATCCATTTCACAAACAGTTTAAAGTCCTCTGGTATGTGTTCTCCTTTCATGCTGAAATGGTCTGAGCCTCTACAGTAGTAAAATGGGCCGGAGACAGGAAGTGTCAGAATAAAGACAAAAGAAGACAAGAAAAAAAGACTCGTGCACACACACTTTGTACATGTAGGCATTGTGCATGTGTCAGTGTTTGTGAAAGAGAGAGACAGGTAGGGAGCGAGTGGTTTTCATGAAGAGCTGTTTCATAACCGTGCACACAATGGAAGGACCTGGCATTGTCTGTCTGTTTATACATATATCCATTAGTAGATCATAATAGAGCAATTATAGCAGTTGTCTGGGTTTTGCCCCTGAAGTTCATCATTCATTCTCTCATTTTGTGGGAACGAGATAAAACCGGATGATCACAAAATACCATTTGACCAAAAGCAATACTGCTGAGGAGCTTTAGATAGGGACATTTTTACTTAATTTAAAAATCTCAATAAGTAAGAGCCCTCTTTTCATTAAGTTTCATGAAAATAACCCACCGTCATACAGGAAATTGGGCTGACTGCTACCCGTTGGAAATATAATAAAAAGATGATTATGTCTCTGCTTTTAGAGTCAGTGTTTCAACAGTTTCACTCTAACTCAACTTATCTCCTCTCATTACTCTTTCCAGCAGCGTCTCTGTGTAGCAGTGTCAGCCCCTATCATGAGGTGATGCGGATGGAAAGGCGTCTTCGCTCCTCATCTGAGGGGGCTGGTGGGCCTCGTATCCATGGAAACCACAAGGATGCCCCGGGCATGGAGGGATGTGGCCTCCTCAAACACAGAAACAACTCCTCGTCCTCCAAACTGGGCAGTCTGGTAGGTCTCGTGTGTGTGTGTGTGTTTGTTTGATTGTATAAATTAATTCAAAATTACTAGATTATATTACTTTTTTACGTTGTCAGGTCATGCTGAATTAGGGTTAACACTTTAGCAGATACAGATGGTGTGTGTATGAAAGATACAATGTAGTGTGTGTGTGTAACTGTTTACATTTGAATTATGATGTTTAGGTACAGCATAACTAACCCCAAGACAAGCACATGCACATGCACACATCCACATGCACGCACACACACGCACACCCACACACTCACACACAAAAATACACATGTGTCTGACTAAACAGTTAAGTATGTGCCACACATTTTGGAGCAGATCCAAATCACAGGGCGGATACACACATTACTTTTCATTTTCATTAATATTGCAAGATAAGGCATGACCTTAGCGGAGGCTTGAGCTCTCTGAGTGCCCATCCAGTTTATATATAGAAACTTTTCAAACACAGAGGAAAGTAAAAGTACTTAAAAAAAAGGCAAAGAAATGCACTAGAACAACATTTCAAAACACAAAGGAAAACAAAATCAATTAGAGTAGAAAAACAAGATAGAAAAAAAAAAGACCAAATGTGAATACTTTGCTGTACAGTTTCAGGGCAGTAATAAATTGACCCAAATGTAATGAAGGAAACAAAAGTGTGGTAGAGAAAATGAATCCGCCCAAAACACAGCAAACAAGATAGAATGAGAATAGCACTTAATGTAACAAACGTCTTAATAATCCTAAAAGGATTACCATGATGCCTTTCTTAAACGTTTCCACGAGGCGCTGAACAGTGTATCGTGAGGTGAAAACAAACAGACACACATTTGCTCATGACAAGAAATGTCACATTGAATGGCGATCTACAGTTCTGTACTGACTTTGCAATCACACACGGGTTACTAATAAGTCTGTGTCATTAGTTCTGATATTCAACAGCTCAAGTTAAGCATGAGAATCTGAAAACCCCTTGATATTCTTAGTTATATTGTTACCTTGTGTGTACACATGAATACAAATGATAAGAAGAAATACAAATCTTGTTTCTAATATTTAATGCTATATACTGTAAGGCAAAGCCCTGACATTATGACCCGGGCAAGTGTGATTAGTTTAGTAATATTACTTCTTCAGTAAATATTTCACAACAGTCATTGCCCCCGTCTTTTGATTCATGCTTAAGCTTTAACAACATTTGCTTCAGGTGCTACTGGTATTATTGTGTATGGGTTGGCTTTCTACAATACATCACAACACACAGGGGAAGCTCTGTTGGTTTGTCAATCCACTTTACTTTACCAAGGACTGTATGCTTTCATCTAGAGGGCAGGTATACACACAGCACATTGCTATGTTCTTTGCAGACTCCATCTGCTCCTTGGCACAGATTTCTAATCTTTTCTTTTCCTTTCTCTGTCGTTTGAAGGGCCCTTCAGGGGCCTACATTGTGCCTAAAGCGCAGGAGCCTTGGAGTCTAAATTCAATTATGTCCCTCCATTTCTCCTCTTTATTTCAGCCTGATATAAGTTTTTTTTGTTGCAGAGGGCACTTGTGAAGCTTATGAATAAGTCTGAACTAAGACACCTGAGAGGCCTTCTTCTAAGTAAATACATAAGTAAGGCAGTTGAGGGTATGAATACAAGAAAGAGAAATGGTTGGCTTATTGTATAAACAGTGTGGCTCACTGTGGTGTTTACCTGTGAAGAAGTCCTGTGGGACAGTGCAACAGTTTAGGGCCAAACAGAGACGGTAAGCTAGGTGTATATAGTTTATTTTTACTGATTCATTACAAGGAGAGAATATAATTATCTTGAAGCCGCTAAAGATTTGATTTGCAATGACAAATGTGTAATAAGTTTACTTCTAAGTTGAGATAAACTGTGAGGTGTCTCTGTGAGGAACGCTGTGTTTGCTTGAGCTGTTTGGTGATCTCATTCCAGTTGTTATTGTTATTTTGATATCCCATTCGGGTTGTCGAGAGATATTTATTTCCCCCCCCGTAAACACTGTTGGTTGCTCATATTTTTCTCAGTGAGACAGTGATAATATTTTGGCAGGCTGGCAGTGATTAAATTCAATTCCAGTTGAAAGGAATAACTTAGGACGTTCTGAAGAAATTCTCTCTCATCTGAGTTGTTTGTAGGTTGATTGACATTCAGTATATGGCAGAATAGTTCAACTGCAATCCATTTTAATTTGACTGTTACTTATGCACATCCACACCTGCATTCAAAGCTTGCTCGCTAGACTTGTTAACAAGATGCCTCTTGTTTTCATATCATAAGTGACACTGGTAAATAATGATAGAACAGATAAGGATTATCTTCTTATCCGAGACAGAATTTGTTATTCCCACAACCAGACAGTTGGGTTTTTAAATGAAAAACAATGAGGATATTTGTACAGTATGGTTTTGCCCAAGGACAGCATATGAAAGCAGTACAAATGATCATACACACATTAAATCACATTTCAAATCACTTTCTCTGAAGCTATGCTCCTTGATACCAACTTGTCACATAGATGAGCTCAGAAGACAGTGGTGGATGAAAAGAAAATCATTTATATCATGACATAACCATTCATAGTTATTGGCAGCAAAAGTTAGCTGAGCCAAAATGCTGTAAAATAAGCAGTAGTAGTATTGTGTGATTTAATTATGAATCAAGACAATTTAGGTAAATTGGCAAATAACGTGGTTTAGCACCATCTGTTTGCTGGTGTTTATTCTTATAAACAATAATCATCATGCTGCATTTATTTGCATATTACCAAAGAAAATGTTCTTAAAAACAAGGGAACACTTATTGTACAATATGGACTTGGAATATGTATACCACATGTTCACATATTGCATTCAATCCCCTAATTATAGCTAGTTATGTTTAATATTTTATGGCAATTATTAGAAGATAACTTGTTGTTCATATACTAAATGTGTTCATTTTAAATTCATTACCTGTATAGAGGCTAATAAACTTTAGCTCAGCTTTTAACACCATCATACCTGAAATACTAGTGGAAAAACTGTCAAGCCTAGGTTTCCCCTCCATCTTATGCGCCTGGATAAATAATTTCCTTACAGACCGTCCTCAGACAGTGACAATAGGCCCTTATTGCTCCTCCACCCGCACCCTCAGCACTGGCTCCCCGCTTCAAGTCACGGACAAACAGACTCAAAAACAGTTTCTACCCCTGGGCCGTCAGGCTGCTTAACCACCACACATAATGTTATGTTTAATGCACTTTATATACTATTTTTATATTAATATTTTGCACACCGGGACAGAGTTGCACTCTGAATCTCGTTATACTCTGTGTATAATGACAATAAAAGGCTTTAACTTAACTTAAACAGTAAATGTACACTTAAAATGGAGTTGATAGTAAGGAGCTCATTAGCTATCAGAGAGAAATTGACTTCCTCTGCTGTAGAAACAAAACTTTTCTTTAATTCAGTGACATTTTTCATTGACAGGCTAAAGAGCTCAAAGACAATATTGATATTGGGAAGAACTCCAGCTTTAGGTGCTTTCTCTTGTAGAAATCATGTTCACATCCAGACATATTGCAGAGGTAGGAAATAAGTTATCACTGTAGTCACATTTTTTGCCTCGGCAGCCTCGCACACAACATCATCTCGTAAAGTTGTATACTTTACAATACGTGATAGGACTCCTTCATTTAAATATGTAACTCAAATTAATGGCCATAGTGAAAATATGGATACTGTTGCTACCAAAGTACTCTATAAAGCACTAAAATGTAGTATCTCTCTTAAATTGTAAAAGGCATTGCACATTTAATTTGAAATGGATGTTTGCTTAGCTCTGGGATGAGAGATGAATCTGTATGTATAGGAGAAGATGGTTGCCAATAATTATAATAATAATAAAGATACAGTCTGGTTAAAAATTGGTTTCTTTGCATTCAACAGATTTCCCATTTGACTGGACATTCAATCTTTTGTTCCCTCAGGCACCTTGTAAACACAACTGGCTGCGAATCATCTGCTCAGACAGAATGAAAGTCATTTGTTAGTCCGTATATTTTCCATCGCCAGAAGCCATAATACCTGGCTACAAAGCCAAGTCTCTCTCCCTTGATCTTAACGCATTTATCACCCTAGGGCACTGAATAAATGTAGTTTTTATAGACTGTATGTGATTTCCTCAGAGTATGAACAGAAACCAGTCAATTTTATGGACAGGAAAAACCCTTACTGATGGATTCTCTAGGAAGACTCAATACCCTGGTTATGTACTACATCGGCCTGATTGTAAGGTTTTACGTGTTGTTTTTATAGTGGTGAATGGTAGGGCCCTGTCATATCTCTGATATCTCGACGAGCCTTATTGCTGCTAAATATTCTCCACCAAAGCCCTACTAATGGTTCCAAAATGTCGACATATGACCAAATGTGACCGGCCCTTCGCTGTCGGTGTTCATGGAGACTGCTATTGTAGCGGGAACTATCACAGAAGAGGTTTAAGTACTTTGACTGGTGTTTATATTTCTGAATGTGGAAAGATTTTGTCCGCAAATTAGTGTTACAACCGTGCAAAAAGGTCACAAAACGTTACAGTTGTGTAGCTATTGCCCCTCTCCCTTCAATATAAACCAGTGAGTTTTAAAGACTGGAAAAAGCTCTTGCATCCTCTTATCTCTTGGGATTATTATTCTGCTTGTAGGTTAGGAGATGGAGCCATCTGTTAATCAGACTTGAATCTGATATTATCTCTATTAACTCAAGGATTACACTCACTCAAATCACATAAGCAAGGGAAAAAGGTTACATATCTGGGTTGTAAAATCATATTAATAGATTTCTGTGGTTAGAGGGGCAGATTAAAATGGGTAATTTAGCTTCAAATGGAGTCTGTGCAGTAGTATCACACAGAATGGGTCTTCATTTCTTTTCCAATACCTTTCGCTATTAGCTGTAATGCCTGGATGGAGTTCTTCTGTTCAATTGCATTACGTTGAAATGCATTCTGGTCTTTCTCTGATGTTAACTGCGCCGAGCAGCTGGTGAAAAAACAGTAATATAGTGTTAGACATTAACACAGTACACAGAACACAATGGCCTCACGTGTTATGTACTTGGAGAACATTGATTTAACACACACACACACACACACACACACACATACACACATACACACATACACACACATACACACACGCATCAAGTCTCTTGTACAAGAAAGGGAGGAGATCAATACTGAGGTTGTTTATGTCCAAACAACAGTGATGAGGGCTGAACAGAGCTGGTTAATGGAGTTTCTGCTGATACTCCATGTGACTGCTGCATGTAGTTTTCCGATGCCTGATATTTACTTTGGTTTAACTTTTTAATTGTTTGAGTGCATACAAGTTCAATCCTGTAGTCAGCAAATATTCAAAATCTTGTCTAAAACGTTGATTCAGGTTTTGAAATGTAGTCAGAACAAGGTCAAAGCACTACTCCACTACTGCATAATTAGCTATTTTGGTCTTGTGAGGTTATCAGGCTGCTGAGACATGCCTCATCAGGACAATTCAGGGCACTTTATGAGATGTAGAAAGTATTGTGGTGCTCATTATTACCGGTATGCTGTCTATATCAAATCTGCGTACTTATTTGCAAATATATATAATTTGACCCAGGGATTGCTCAGGTCTTTTTAGGTGTAGAATAATTGGAGCGAACCTGCTGATTGTGAGAGTATTATACCAGGGAAGCGCATGTTGGCAGAGTTTTTACACCTCACCTGGATGTGTCTGTGATAATAAGGGAACATGATCAAACAAGTCATTGTTTTTTTAGCAATTATCCTGCCTGCTGCCAATTCTTACATAACCTTATCTATTTGTATATATGTACAACTGCAACAAATACACTCTTTTTAGCAGTGGTGTGTTGGGTTTTTATCAGTTTGCCAATATTTATTTATGTAGCTATATATTTTTTTCTACAATGGTTTGGTCCCTTTGATGACCATGAGATGGCAGCATTGACTTTCGAAATGCAGCTGCACCTTAGAGAGCACAGGGCATCATTATAACCTCAAAATAAAGCCAAGAACAAAGGAGCATTTAACAAAACAAGTAAAGATTTGAGGTGGGGCATTCAGTGTTGAAACATCACAGGTAGCTGTAGCCCGATTGAGCGATAGGGAATAAAGATACAATTATAATTTCTAACATCTCAAGATCCAAAATACTACCATGAAATATTAAAACATGCCTCTTGTTTTCAAACTGTTACAACCAGGGTTGGGGAAGGTTTGTAAAAGGTTTTATTTGAATTGAAAGCTATTGTTGGATTTTGAAGAGCATTGTCCCTGATGCTATTTGCAGAGAACATCTAGTTCCCTGTAAGGTAGATGGAAACATTTTTAAACAGCACATTAAGTTAGATTAGGTTTTATAGATAACAAAATCAGGTTAATGGCATCTGACAAATGCTTTGGAAAGTTGGGTTTGTGTAAACAATTTTAGGAATCATATGAGTAGGTAATGGCTCTATTTTTAATGGAGCGAGAAGAGAGAAGGGTTGCAGTCGAATTGTCCAAAAATCAGCTCTTATCGTCTTTTCCTATCCACTATTCCTTGACCTCTGTGAAACGTCACAGGGTTAAGGAATAGTGGATAGGAGAATTCAAAGGATTTAGTCAAAGAGACTGCTGTGCTTTGAGAATCCCACTGCACTAAACTATCCAACGTATTTATGATGCGCCAGCGGACGTCATAAATGTGCATCTGCTGTGGGGAAACTACAGTTTTCTATACAGCGAACTACATGGATGTATAATAAGAACGGCGGTCTACTGTAAACGCATCTAGATACTTTGCACCGCGTTCTTATGTTTCTCTGTTGTGGGGACAACAGAGAAACATATATTCTTCATGACCAAGGTTGGAATTGAAATAAAAAAGGAAAGTGAAACTTATGCTTGTCACCCTCCGGTCCACACGTATTAATCCACATGATCCCAATACGTATGATTGTAAGAAAAGATCTTATAGTAAATACAAATGTATTTATTATAAACTTGTTAGTCCTTACCTATCACTGTGTATATCACCATTCAAAAATGTTTTAAAAGTTCAAGAAACCCCTCAGAGCTCAGTAAACACTATGAAGTGTTGACTTTATTTGATCATTTCAGTAAAAAAGTAACGTTCATATTTCTCCTTTTGATTATTATAGTGTTGAACGTTCAAAACAAAGCACTTTGGCAACTTACCACATAAGTTGTCAAATGCTTATTAATAAGTACCGTAACTTTCATGATATCATTTCTCGGTCATGATCGGTTGTTTCTGTGAACGGCCGAATGTTGTGAAAACCTCCTTTCCTATCATCTAGACTAGAGAATTCAAACAGCTCTTATCATGGCGGCCACTGAGGTACTTCCGGGTCATTTCACTCCGTTAGGAAGGTTCCTAAGCTAAACTAACAATTTGTCTGCAACCAAGGATTGTAGATTGTAAAGTTGCTCTTGTTCAGCAGGTACTTGTTCCTTTACGAAGCATGGGGGATGCTGACAGATGTTACACAGCCTGATTTGGCACATTCATTGCTCTCACTAACTGAACCCTAATGATTCCCTTATAACAGGAGAAACAATATGTGTTCATGAGCCTAGATGCTTACAGTATGGTGAGGGACTGGATATCTCGTCAAGTGGAGAAAAGTGAAAGAAATATCATCAATAAATAACTATCAAGTGTTGATGTTGGGTTTTCTGGCTGGGGAATCTTTGTGAATGACTACTATACTTAGCGAATTAGGATTATTTTGATACAAATCCTTATATAATTTGCTTGAATGTTGTCATATTTTAGCCCTATTTGAGTTAGTATATATTTAGTTTTTCTTCTTCATGATTTGCTTAACCTGTAGGACATTCATGAGTGTCTTGCTAAAATTGTATTAAAACTGTTAATCATCATGACTTGTTTGTTCCAACATTAAAGTATTTTTTCAACCTACATAATCATATTACTATAAATATAATAATGAGTATTTCTAATTATTATCTTTAGATTGCTTTTTTCAGTTTTGTCTTTTTTGTCTTTTCTCTTTAGGATGTTTTGAACTACCTGGGTTCGTCAGAGCTTGATGAAGATGATCTTATGTTGGACCTGGACCTTTCTGATGACCAGCGACATCGACATGGTAATTCAAATGTTTTTACTAAAGGAAATCCGCGTCTCAACTCAGATGTCTTCATGGACATTGCGTGGGTGAAGAATAGGAAAGATACAGATGGAGCTCACTTTTCCACACTTAACTTCATCAAGCAAACATGTGTCCACATATTTATGCAGTGGTACTTACTTAACTATTATTTAAATACTGAAGGGGTTAAAGTCAAATGCATAATTCAACACTATCCACAGCTGGGTCAAATACTAGGTCTGTTAGTCTTTTAGTTTTTGTTATATTTCTCAAAAATCATACAGTAATGGCTGCTTTTAAAAGAAGCTAAATGTTCCTGGAAATAAATTATTTTAAATCAGGAGTGAAAATCGTTTATATTCAAAATTCTCTCCTTGTATCTGCTCATTTTTCCTCATTGTGTCACTGATTATTTGAACCCTCCTTTTTGCTTTCCCTCTCTTCACCCGTTCTTTATTTATTTTTTACTTGCTTTCTTTCTTTCTCTTTACTCCCCGTCTGTTTTTTCTAATTAAATCCCCTCTACTGCATCGCCCTCAAACCAGTGCTCTCCCTGGTTCTTTTAACATGTGCCACCTACTTTGATGTAGCTGCCTCATTTACCACGATTTACCTGCTTCACTGTGGAGGCATTTCAGTTACACTCTAACTGACATGCCTCATTGTGTAAAAGTGACAGAGGAGACTTATTGCTTTTGCTCTGCCACAGTGCAGCAAACTGTAACCCCAACCTCCTTCCATATAACACATAGAACATGATTATATCTAATGAGTGTGGTGGGTGGCTGGAAACACAACACGAGGAAATGTGTTAATATAATGATGAATTCTTAGACATAACTGCGACATAAGAAGCGATTTGCTATTTTTTTGGTTGTGAGTACACGTACTGTAGTGAAGTCAAATGATTGATTGCATTTGAAAGCACTGTTCTTATTTAATCATAACTCGCAGGGCATTATGGTAATTGGGCAAAATTACAGACTCTTGCAAATACTGTCAGTATTGATTATGTTTCAGATTGCAAATGTTTGCTTCATATTAACACATCTCCAACTGTAAAGACACTAAGTGCAGGCTGTAAAACCATTTGGAAATTGAATGTATTATCTTTAACTCAACGTGAATCGGTTACCCTACCATGTCTGTGCTTCAAGAAGTTTAGTCATTGAGAATTTGAGTTTTACTGTAAATATAAAGACATTTCATTCACTCTCTCTTGACTCTCATTATATGTGTGTGAGCACGTCTGGCTTTGATTCTTATATAACAGATCTCAGTCAAGTATATAAATGTGAGGTTACATTCATCTATCTCTAGGCTACATTCAAGTCCCAGATGGACTCCATGAATATTACAGTTGCAATCAAATAAAGTAAAATGCTCAGCAGAACTGCGAGGAACTGCGAATTACAACAGGCACTTCAGCCATATTAAACTGAATATCCTGTGCTTATGGGGGTTAGAAAGGGTTTTGGGAGGAAGAGCGGATTTGCCCCAGCACTTGCACAGCTTTTACACGCACGCACGCACACACGCACACGCACACGCACACGCGCACGCGCACACACACACACACACACGCACACGCACACGCGCGCACACACACACACACACACACACACACACACACACACACACACACACACACACACACACACACACACACACACACACACACATACATATAAAACACCTCTGAAGGCTCTGACTGGTGCAGATCGAAAGAAAGCATCATCATTAATACACACACTAACACACGGTTGTATGCTAAGTCATTAGACCTAATGGTTTGCAGACTGTAGCATGAAATTAAAGGTTTGATGGATTGTTCTCATAAAGTCAAGGGAGTTCGACTTTGTGCTGGCAATGGGAGAGTAAGGTTCTCCCACACACTCTATTTAAATAGAATCATTTAAGAACCCACATACATATTCAGTGGGTATACACAGAGCTTACAGACCAGATACATGCACATATAAAGAGGCAGACGGACACATATGACTGCACACACACTCATCTCACACACATGCACTCTCATTGACACTCCTTATTCTTACCTCTCTCAGGTGGCTTGTTGAAGCCTTTATTAAAAAGCAAGCAGTTTCACAGCAATGTATGGCCAACAGTATTCAGCTGCAGGGCTGTGTGCTCTTAATCCAACTGTGACTCATGCCCTGTGGAATCAGACAGAGACAGGAAGAGGGAGACAGCGGGACCTTTACAAAGACACGAAGAAATGCCAAATCTTGTCTTCAACACCAGTTTTTATTCCAAACTCTTTCACACTGCTCTGTCAAATGTGCCATTAAAATTACACTTAAAAAGAAATATCATTTTTTTTTAAACAACTCATTGTATTTTCATTACTCAAACCTATCACTCCTGAATTTTAATATGCTATTAAAATGTGCATGACTGGTGTTTTATAACTCTAATAAAATTTTGGAGGAGATGTAAAAGTTATTATTTTTGATGAGTAAAATATGTTGTGATCAGCATAGGCCTATTTAAGGGTGTCCACTAAGATGTGAAAATCATCTTAATGTAATGACTAATTGTGTGTTGGGTGTGTGTGCAGTGTCCAGAGAAGACTCCAGTCAGTCCCTGGCTTCCTGCCTCAACCTGCTCCCCTCCCCCCTCGACCCATCAGGAGATCGCATCCCAGGGAAAGAAATCAATCAGAGGTAAATATGTATATCTTTATTAATATGCAGTGTTGTCTTCTCTCCCTGTAGAGCTATAGGGAGAACAACTGCAAAAGAGCTGTACATGTAATTATGTGGAAGTTTTTGGCGATTTGTCTTGCAAAGAAAATGAAGACAAATACTTTCCAAATGATGTATGGGTGTGTATGAGCTAGACATAACAGAACCACAGTCATGATGGAAAAGACTGTCTTGTATTGGCTGCCAAAAAGAATAAGGATTTAATCACATAGCATCTGAGCATATGGACTGCTCATGTACCTGTTTTCATTTGTCTCCGAGCCATTTATCCTCTCTACAGTATATCTTATTACATTATAGCTACAATATATTTCTCTTGTACAACACAAACTCCAATGCCACTTGAGAGACCAAGAAAGAAAGCGGGAGAGTTATTGTCTATTCTTGGAATTGCTGATCTTGAATTTTCCCTGTAAATGCGTAACATGTTTTATGTCTTTCCTTCCCTTCGAGATTAGACGAGACTCTAGCACACAAATATGCAAGCTGTCTTTCTGTTCTCCTCTTTCTCCCCGCAGCCGACGGCTGAAAAAGAACACTTAGAGTTTCTGTTTGTACGTGTGAGTAGCACCACAGCCAGAGAGTCCCATATCTGATTTGATTTGGCTGCTTGTTTCTTATCTACACTCAGGATACAGGATAGGTCTTGCTGGGCAAAAGGAAATGTGGGCACCCCTGCACATCTGTACTAAAATGCATCGACATATCCACACACAGCAGCTCTGTCCATAAGGCATTATGTGTGTGATTATGGTGCCACTGTGTAATCAGAGTGTATCACCAGTAGTAATGTCTGGTGATGTGTCTGACATGCCAGCAGCCGGTGATACTCTCAGTTCTCCTTTCTCTAATCCCTGGTTAACTTACATGTTATCTCTAATCCTACCCATAGAGTTAATGGATACATATATTTTTGTTTTCCCCTTAATAAACTAACTCCAAGCTTCTTTGTTTTCAGAGAAAGTGCAGGTAAACGTGTGTGAGTGGTTTTAAAGGTTGGAGGATTTATAGTACACCGTTGAAAGATTGAATGTTGGCTTGGCTTCTTTTTTTTCCGAGGTTTAAGCACGCTTCTTACACTCTTTGAATGTTGCGTTGAGTAGAGAGCTGTTTTTCCTGTCTAGACGATGTCAGTGAATCATGCAAGTTGAATCTACCTTTTCAACCCATTCAAGGTTGTTGTCAAACAATTCATCAGTTGTTTCATTTATACTGAAGTCCCACTTGTCTATGAAAGTACAAGAGGAATACCAGACATGTAAAATACATATTTGCATTATTCCTCTCTGTATGCGAGGTCAAGTAATGTGTGTGAAGCCAGCTTTCTTTTGTTCGACTGAGTTTGCCTGGAACGCAACGTCGTAGTTCAGGCCAGAAGTGCCATAATATGAGGAAATGGGTCCATCCCTTTCCAATCAATCAGAGACGGTGTAGTACGATAGTATTGCTTTTGCGGAGATGAAAGGAGAGGAATGAATACATTAAATGGACGGAGAGCTGCAACAACTTATCGATTTCTGTCAATGGACAACAAATAATTGCCAACTATTTCGATAATAGATTAATGATTAACATCATTTTACATTCAAAAGTGGTAGAAAATGCTGTCCTCAGCCTCTTAAATGTGATCTATTTCCTTTCTTGCTTTACTCAAAACAAAACAATCCATTACCTTGGAATTCAAGAAACTTTTTACAATTGTATTATTAAAACTGCTTATTGGATTCTGAAAATGTCCACTCCAGAAATGTCCAAATCGGCCAGGCCATTTTTGTACCTATTTTAAATGTATTGCAATGTAATGCTAATCAACTAAACTAATGTTAATTGTGCAAATTGCCCAACATATGCAAGTTAGGATTCCGCAGTGTCTTTGTGCTGGCGACCCCTACTATACATCTCTAACATAAAACGTTGGGGAACTCAACATATCCGGGTTCACAATAGGACTCTACGAGCTGGCAACTAGACTATATAGCTGAGTGATGACTTCATTAGCTTCTCTTTTATATAGCTCCTTTATAACAACCTAAAAGGTCTTGAGCCTATACTCCAGAATGACTCAATTCTCCAAACTGTAGACACATCTCATAATTTAGTACGAACAGTGAGACAGTGATATGATATAGTGTGCTTAGGAAGTGTGTGGTCCTTACTTCCTCACAGCAAGGGAGCAGTTTTTTGAAGCTGAAGGGCAGAGCAGAAGAGTAAAAAAACTAAAAAATGGACTTTACTTATATAGTGCTTTATCCAGTCTTTAAGACCCCTCAAAGCGCTTTACATACTACATGTCATTCACCCATTCATACAAAGCAGTGCACCTTACTCTAGGAACTAACATTCATACACATTCACACACCGTTGGCCATGCCATCGGGAGCAACTCAGGGTTAAGTATCTTACCCAAGGATACATCGACATGTTGGCTGCATTGGCTGGGATCGAACCCACAACCTTCTGGTTGAAAGACGACCGCACTCCCTCTCAGCCACAGTCGCCCTCAGAAAACATTTTATAAACCGACTGGATGGAAAGAGCAGCTACACTTCAATAACAAATCACACCTTTGAGGCTAAAAAAAAAAGTATTTTAAACTCTTCTTTATTTTGCTTTACAAAGTGAATTTCACACTATCTTTTATTTGAAATAACCGTTTGGAGTCTATGTCAGGAAAACATTGTTTTATGTGTTGGCTCCTGAAACACTGGGGCAGGTTGCATGATGGAGCAAGGTCTGAGAGTCTTACTGTGAGGCTGCTGGCATGTGTTAATTTCCCACTGTGATACCTCAGCACCTGCACTGATTTCCTGTTCAATTACATTACACAGACATTTGACTGTAAAATGTGTTTGAAGTCTGAATGAAGTAGCTCAAACTGGAGAATAAGGGTAAGAGAACAAAGTGTGTTTGCCCAGGGCTTGCGCTTCCTCTCTCTGTCTGTCTCGGCTCTTTGTCTCAGGTTCAACATTCCCTCAAGGGGACATTGATTTGCTGGAGGCAAAGCAAGCTCCCATCTATTCACACACAAGAAAACACAAAACACACACACACACACACACACACACACACACACACACACACACACACACACACACACACACACACACCACACACACACACACACACACACACACACACACACACACACACACACACACACACACACACACACACACACACACACACACACACACACACACACACACACACACTTGCACGAATACTTCAACTACTTACTATTCCATACTTTGTTAACATTAATATCTATAAAGAAAACACGCAATAGCAGCAAACACCATTTACTAATTATTCGTTTTAGTGTTTTGTAGTTAGAAGTCTGTTAAAACAGTAGGTGAGGAAAGACTGAGACAGAGGGGAAGATAGAGAGAGAGTTTGGGAAAACAGAGAAACTAGAAACATCAGAAACTTTTGTCCTATATTCACATAAAGATCACCCCTCATCTTGTGCATGCTGCACAGTAGATGGTGAACAGGGATCAGTCAACACAGAACCAGTATACTCTACAATAGTATTTTAATTGTATTGACAGCTTTGGACGAAACTAAGAAAGTAAGAATTCAGAGAGCAGTGTATGAGGTTTAGGGATATTACTTAGACATATGTTTCCCATCCTTGATTATTATTGAATAAACTGCTGGTTATTTCTGAAATAATAAATTGACCAAAGCTTTGTCAATTACATTTGCAGCAATAGCTCCAAATGCCTGTAAGCCCTACAGTTCTATCATCAAAAGACTAATGAAAGAACAACATCCTCACATTTGAGCAGTTAGAGCCAGCACATTTTGTTCCCCATATTTGGTTTAAATTATATTTCTTTCAATGAAAATAGTGACATATTCTCTCAATGGACCGATTGTTGCAACCCTGGATATTTCCACTTCAATGGCAGTTTTTAGAATTTCATATTTTCAGAATGTAGATGAGCCAAAAACATGTTTTTGGCATCAGTCCATGTGCTTTGTTTCTGTACATACATTGGGGAACTTTTGCCAGTTGCAGCACTTACTTTGGATATTATTGCCAATCTTCACTACATTACAATAATGAGTGTTGCCTCAGTGGCTTAGTTTGGAAGAGATTGTGAAGGGTGTGGTGGAATACATAATATTTGTTTGTGTGATATATATTTTAATGTTTTGTATTAAGTCATCCGCTCTTCCCCTGTCTCTCCTATTGAAAACGACAAGGAGGAAATACAATTTTAACAGTAGCAGTGTGCCTGTTGCTATGGTAACGGCAGTCTGCCTGTTGAGTGGTCCTCTTTTCTTTCCCTTTTTCATTGCCGTTGATTGCTATGCAGAAGACAGGTAATCTGAGCAGAGGACAAACACTCAGAGATGTCCTTGTCTGTCGATTCGCAGTGGACAATCATGAAAGTCAAAATGTGCATCTCTACTTCTGATTTGAGGATTAATCTGCAGCTATATCGTTCACATGCTCTGACATTAGCATTAGACTTATAAGAACCATGTTAACATATGTGGACAGCTCCCAATTATACCCAATGACGACTTCAAAATATATATTTAGTTTATTCCCAAAATACACTTGTCAACTTCACGCTGTTTCAACTCTCATTTAACAGATTTAATGAAGTGGGCTGAACAAAACAAACAAACAGCCTAGCACGTGCCTCAAGCTACAGTACGATGTGTTTGCCTGTTTTGTGTTGAATTAGAGTATAAGAGATGAGGATCAATTGAAAGAGAATCAGCTGGGCCTTGTGAATTAAACGCATTATGGAAAGCAAGAGAGAGGGAGAGTGCAAGAGACATAGTATACTGGCACTTATTATACTTGAGGCTGTTGGGAAGACAGCACTAAGCAGCAAATAGAAGTGTAGAGAGGGTGTCTAGTGATATAAAAGGAAACCCTCCTCCTCAAATTCAGGTAGATATGGTGCGTAGTAATATACAGTTATCTCCCACAGAGA